AAAAATTATTTATTTATTTATTTAAATTAAAGATTAAAACATAACTTAAAAAAAAAAAGAATAAAATGACAAAGTTAAAATACAACTAGATAACCTAAAAAATTAATTAAATATTATCTCAATAGATGAAGATTTGCAAAACACCATTTCCTAAGAAGATAAAAAAACATAAATTAAGTTAGTATTTATCTATAATTAATTTCAACCCTAATATCTCTAATGGCTTATATAAATAAAATTTACACAAAGAAAATTTACTTACCCCAATGATTATCTCCTAATGTTTCCTGGAAAACAAATAAAATAGCACAAATTAGTATTTAATCAAATAGGGAGAAACAATGAAAGAGAAAATTAAAAGAGAGGAGATTGAAAAAATATCAACCTAAAATTATATCAATAATGTAATTATAAACATATATAAACAATTAATCCAGCAGCATTGAATGGGAGAAAAAGAGGAGGCAATAGCCAGAGGAGAAGAAAAAGAAGAAAAAGAAGAATAAGAAGGAAGACAAGAAGAAATAAGCCGGGTAGAGAAGTGGGGGTATATATATGGCAACTTACCCATGTGTGGCTAGTCGATATTAGTTTCACCAACAAAGATCACATGGGTAAGTGACCAAGAGCGGGAACCAAAATTTTTGCAATCCGTGCCCAAATTACCAACTAGCTTCCTGTTGGTATGTTTTTGGCGACTTTATTGACAAGATGCAAGTTGGAAATCAATTTTACCGACTAGGAGTACGTTTCTAGTATGGCTGGTAACAATTTAATAGCTTCCTCTCCAGATTTCATCCATTTTGCCTAAGTTCCTTTCCAGATTTCGTTTTCATGCCATTTTCTGAATTTATGTAACAGATTTCTTACATTTTAGTGGACATAAATTTTTAAAAAAATTATCAAAATTCCCCCGTATATATGATAAAAGGTATTTTTTTTTTAAATCTGCATTTGCAATACTAGAACTTTGTGATAAAAAATGCAATAATTTGAAATTTATTCAATAGATTTTTTCTAATTTGGTCATTTTAGTTGGTATAAATTCTAAAAACAATTTGACAGAGTTTCCCCATACATATGATCAAAACCAATTTTTTTACCCGCATTTGCAATGAGAAACACATATATTCTACAAGTCTAGTATGCTAAAAACAATTATACCTTTTCAACCACAACTACAACCACAACCACAAACACAAAGTATATATGGCAATCACACATCATTGTTTTAAATACCCACGATATTTAGTTAATAATAATTAACCTCCAAAGCAGTCCAAAACTTCATACCTTTTAAAGTATGATCACTGGAGGTCAAGCAAAATAAGAAAATATATCGTAATAAAAGCTAAAGCTAACAGTTTAAAGTACTAATAGAAATAAAGCTAACCATGCAAAGTATGCAGATAATGTGCGTAGTAGAAAAATAAAAAAACTAAGGACCCTAATAGTCTGGATCAAAAGTAGGATGGTATGCATCATCATCTTGAGGCAGAAACTACCGCTGCTGCTGACATTCAAGGACCATAGGAGAGGTTTGTGTAGAATCAGTGGAGTAAGTGAAAGCTGAATTCATGCGAAGACTTGAGCTAGGACCATGTGACGGCTGTGGTGGGGCAATTGGATGATGACCTGCCTGAGGGGAGATGCTATGAACGGCTAGAGCCGCTGCAACAGACTGTGCGATTGTCTGGCTCATATTATTCTGAGCTTCTGTCATATTGGCCAGCTGCTGTTGCATCAGAGCAATTTGTTGGCATTGTCTTTCTAACTCCTCATAGTCAGACGCCATCAGTGCTGCTATTAAGTTTTCTCGGGGTTGTCTCTTCTTGTAAGTAAAACCAACCATCTCTAGATTTACTTGGGAGCCACTCCCTGGCATGAAATTAGATGAGCAGCCTCCAACAGCCTTAACCCATGCCTCGTTATCCATGCATGGCCATGAACTAGCATCAGAGCCATGACTATCTGTGCACTCCACAACATAAGTATCCTAAAAAAATAATAGTAATAGTAATAATATTGTCAAAAGTAGTTTGAAAAGAATTTATAAAAAAAAGTAGACGTTGCTAAATAATTTAGATTAATTACATAAATTTTTTTCACATTTATAACTATACATTTTATGCTAATTTATATGTTATATATACTTACATATCGATACTTTGCTTTTTCATTGATCCACGCTGGCTCTTGATCCTTTCCCGCCTTTTTTCTGAAGGTGTGCGTCTCCTTGAATTTCTCCTGATGGGGAGGTTGCACACCACCTCTAGACTTAGTCTATATTTCAAAATATTGATAATGCAATATATTGGTTGGTATAAATTGACACAATTTATTGTTAAATAAAATTTAATATATTAAATTTTTTATTAATTAAGCTTGATTACCATCCGCATCTCATGAATGCCAAAGCTAATGGACCCAGTGGTGTGAGTCACCCTTTCCCCAGAGCTCCTATTCTTTGCTCCCCTTGCACTGAGCCTCTTATATTCATCAGAGTCCCAATATGTCAGCAGCTGAGGCCATATATGAGTTGGGATCCAACATGGGACATAGGCTGACTTCTTGTCCCATTTCAACTTCTTATCCCTGAGATTGTCACTCTATCTATGTTTCATACAATTTAGGAATGCATCTCGCACATGGAGATTATCTGTAGGATCCCACTGGTAAAGTGTCTGCAAAATAAGAAATGAATAACATTAGATATCTGAGAAATGTAAATTCTAGTTTAGTAATGAAATTATTTATTTTTATTAGAAATTGCTAAATCCATTCATTTTATTAAATTTGCTAAAACTTAATCTTACCTTGAAACAATTATAAATTTCAGCAATCTTGCTTTGGAGGACACGCTCGTATGTGAAATACGGGCCATCAAAACGTGACTTCCATAGTGAAGTGATAGCCCGAGGGATGTTTGGATCAGCAAACTGGAGCTTATCATCAGTGAGTTTAACTCATTTCCTGCTCTCTCTATTTTCTGGAGGGCGTATTCCTTTTAAATTCCTGCTTCGTCCTTTTTTCCCTGTCGAGGATGAAGGGCCCTCGTTCTCATGATCAGGTGCAAAATTATAATCCATTAATTGATCAATCGTTTGCTATATATCCGGAGCTAGTCATTATCAGTAAACAGTTGTGGGTGATTAAAATTGTGTTGCTCTTGTGATCCTGAGGAGGAAGATCTCCTCTTTGCTGAACCTGCAGGATTTCCAGACATTCTGAAAAATGAATAACAAAATAGTTATTAATACATTTATACAAATAATGAGTAATAAATTTAGAACAATTATACAATGATTCTATTTTAAATGAAAAATATATAACTTGATAAAACAATATATATAAGACAAAGAAATTTTAATACATATATTTAATAAGTAATAATACAAATGTTTCAATTAATCATCACTATCATCGCTATCATCACCATCCTCAACATTATCACTATTTCCTGAGGATTCTGAATCTTTTTCTTCTCCATAGTCCTCCTCTTCTTCAGATGTATTAGCATCAACCTCACCTTCTGTAACACCTTTTGCACATAGTTGAAGTGATTGGTATGCAGTTAAATCTATAGCAAATGAAGAGCCTTGCATTATGGAGGGGTCATCATCTTGAAAAATATCATTAACCTCTCCTGAAGATGAGGTAGATGAGGTCTCAATTAGATGTCTAGATTTGATTTTACATGCTGCCAACCATCCCCGGGTAGTTCTATCCATGGCTGCCAGATATGGAGTATAATAAACTTGTTGTGCTTGACTAACAAGGCAGAATGGCTCCCCCGTTGAAAGTTTAAACCTTGTATTGACATCAACAATTCCGTGTTCAACATTGACACGTATTCCTCGGTTCGTGTCATACCAATCACAATTAAACAATATTATAGTCTCTTGATGGCATGAGTGTCCATAATACAATAACTCGATCACCTCTTTTAAGACACCATAATAATCAGTTTCATTTGGAGAATTAATGGTGGTTCCTTTAACACAAACACCATAGTTATATGTCTTTCTCTTACTAGTAAACTCTTCAGTCAAAAATCTAAAGCCGTTCACATAAAACCCAATATAAACATTCACTTCAAAGATCGGGCCAACTGCAAGGTGGATAAATTGTTCATTGATTTCATATTGTCCACTAAACACCTATATTTGAAAAAAAAAATTAATTTAATAATAATTAATATTTAATTAAAAATTTGAGAAAATAATATATAACAATTCATTACCATATTTTTAAACAATTGAACAAAATTATTTATTTGCAATCTTTGTAGTTGTTCATGTGACAAATTTACACCAACTTCTTCCTCAAATTTACTATAAAATAACATTTATTTATTAATTAAAACGTTATGAAAATCATATAGGCTATTGAACATCGTGTAGTTCTTATTTTCCTAAGAAGTAAAACTTACATTACCCAAACATCAACTTCCTTGCAATTTAGCAAGACAGATAGTTCAGCTGCATCTTTCTCCTCCAATGTTAAACATCGTGTACGTGAGTGGGCACCTATTGATTCACCAGGGGAGCAAAATACAGATAACTTACCTGGGACATTGGTTCCAATGCCACCATAGTTCCTTAGAGGCTGATTCCAACTTGTCTCAACATCATCCCCAAAATAACGAGAGCAGAAGTGGGATATCTCGTATAATATAAATGCCTCAACAATTGATGCCTCAACATGATTTTTATTTCCTATGGTACTCTTACGTTTGCGCATGCGCCTAAAAAGAAATACTAATAAGATTAATTTACAAAAAAGTAATCAAAGTAAGTTTTAAAATTATCAATTTCTTTGTATGTTTTACCTTTCAAATGGGTACATCCAACGAAATTGAACAGGACCACCAACTCTGGCCTCATATGGAAGATGAATTGCTAGATGTTCCATAGAATCAAAGAATGCTGGGGGGAATATTATTTCTAACTTACAAATTATTTCAACAATCTTTGCCTCCCACTTGTGCATCTCAGTAACTTTAATGACCAAGGAACAAAGTGAACGAACGAAGTTACTAATGTCGGTCAAAGAACCCCAAATAGCAGATGGCAATAAACCACGAAAAGCAACTGGAATTAGTCGTTGCATGAAAACATGACAATCATGACTTTTCATCCCAAATAACCTGGACTCATTCAAGTTGACACATCTTGATATGTTGGAAGCAAACCCATCTGGAAAGCACAACTGTTTTAGCTACGCACATATAAGCTTTTGTTTTCAAATGTCAGTGCATAACTAGCATTAGGTTTCACAAGCTTACCATGCATATTATATCCCATGTGCAGTTTTCTTCAGTCACAATAAATGGCTAAATCCAATCTTACTTTCCCATTGTCTTTTGTCTTATTGTCATTTATAACAGTGTGTATTATATTATCAAAGAAAATTTTCTCACAGTGCATTACATCAAGATTATGTTGAATAAGATTATCATGCCAATAAGGAAGTTCCCAAAAAATGCACCTTTTCACCCAATTATGGATGTTCCCAAAACCCTCAATTGTTTGGTTTTCAAAGGGTTTCCCAAACAACACATCAAGAAGGTGACGCATTGAAACACCATCCAATCGAGGAAGAGGACTGCCTAATTCAACCCGACCCTTCAAGAAATTACTCTGATCAAATCTAAAAGAATGTGATTCTGGTAAAAACTGATGATGACAATCAAAAAAAAATGGTTTCCGACCATTTTGAAGATAAAAAGATTGTGTCATCTCCATACAGTAAAGACATGACAATTGGCCATGAGTGCTCCAACCAGCCACCATGCCATAACCTGGAAAATCAGTTATGGTCCACATCAACATAGCCCGCATTATGAAGTTTTGCTTATGATAACTATCATATGTTTCTACACCAGTCGACCATAACATTTTCAAGTCTTCAATTAAAGGTCGAAGAAAGCATCGATATTTTTACCTGGGCTTTTTGGACCTGCAATGACCAATGTAAGAAAAGTAAACTCTGGTCGCATGCACATCTCTGGTGGCAAATTATAAACAATTAAAAAAATTGGCCAACAAGAGTAGGAGGTTGAAGAATGAGCCCATGGGTTGAAACCATTAGTAGCAAGACCTAATCGAACATTACGAGGTTCTCTTTTAAAAGAAGGATGAATTTGATCAAAATGTCTCCATGCTTCTGATTGTGCTGGATGAATGACCTCATCCGTATCACCACAACATTTCAAATGCCATGTCATGTGCTCAGCTATTTTTCGAGACATGTATAGCCTCTGAAGGCGAGGTATTATTGGCAAGTACCAAAGAGAATTCCTCGAAATGTCCTTTTGTCTATTCCTCCTTGGATTTCTTTGTTTATACCTCGTTTCTCCACAAATTGGACATGTAGTCAATGTTTTCGTATGCTCCCCATACTATAAAAAGCAGTTGTTAACACAAGCATCAATTTTTAGATAACCTAACCCAAGCCCCTTCATATATTTTTTTACTTCATAAAAGTTTGAAGGAACTTTTTCTTGATCTCCAGCACTTAACAACCTTCTACATCCTTTGAGAATGGCATTAAAACCATTAGCAGTTATATTATTTGTAGTCTTTGTATGCAACATATAAGAAAGCCAGCTAAGCATTGTCTCATTTCTTTTAGCACTACCAAGTGGAATTGTAGATGCATGAAGCAAGTCATAAAATGCCTTTGCTTGATTGTTTGGTTCCTCGTCTAGATGTTGATTGGGGAAATTACCTTCCATTTCCCGATTATCATCATCCTCTAGACAAAATGCATCATACACCATTTCACGAAAGTCATTTCTTTCATCATGGTGTGTATCTTGGCTATGTGATGATTCTCCCAAATTAGTAGCAGACCATGGATCTGTTGAATTCACAAATGTCTCACCATGTGCCACCAAACAAAATAAGCATTCATAAAACCATACTTAGTAAGATGGTCTCATACCATTTCCCGAGTCATCAACGGTAAATTAAAACATTTAGTACAAGGACACCTGATTAAATCATTCGGTTGAAGACCAAGGCTATTGTATGCAAATTGAAGGAAATATTCAACTCCACTATAGAACTCATTATATATCTCTCCTCGTGGAGTTCGACACCTATACATCCAACTACAATCCTCCATAATCTTATTAAATCAATAAAATAAAATTAATAACATGATTAGTTTCAAAATAATTATGATATCTTTCACATATTTTATAGTTGGTTAAAATCCTAATTTATCATATATATACATATATATATGTTAAATTTAATAATCAACAAAGTTTATCATACATAAATGATTGATTTTTTATTTAATAAAAAATTAATATTTAACTATACAATTATAAAAATATAGTGAAAATGAAACTTACTTTGTACTTAATGAGGATCCACAAGAGCTCAAGTATATTAACCTACAAAATAATTATTAAAATATTAATTTTTATATATATTTTCAATTAAAAATTTCTTTATATATACCATTAAATTAAAAAAACTACATTTAAAATTAAC